TGGTCCAAGTACATCAACATACTTTACCTCCATAATTGCCTGCCGGCAAGCATTGCCGGATCATTGAGTGCAGGCGTAGCGTGCGGCCTCGTCTCAGCAGGGCTTCTGGGTGCTCGGCAGAGATGGTGTTTGCTGTTCGGGCTTGTAGCCTTTTGCATCACCCTGCTGCTTTGGCGTCCGCGAAAGCTGGTGTTTCTAGACGTCGCATGCATTCACCAAACTGACGAAGGCAGAAAGGGAGAGGCCATTATGAGTATGGGTGCATTTTTGAAGCAGTCATCTTCCATGCTGGTTCTCTGGGATCCGACGTGGGTGACAAGACTGCGACTTGGGTTTTGTCGGTCTCGTTTTCGAAGAAGTATAAAGAGCCGTTTAGGACTGTGAAAGCATCTTCTCTTGCCATTCACCCTGGAGAACTAAGGTGGTGCGTCTTCGAAATAGCTGCCTTTCAACACAGCCGCAGTCCCGGTTCCAAGGCGGATCTACAGATTGTTCCACCCTTGTTGGGTCCAACGCTTCTGGTATTTGAGATGCTGTTGTGCATAGCCGCCATTGTATACGACCTCATAGAGTCTTCCCTTGCCTCCTCGGAAGATGGAATATTGGCGGGAGAACTCCACCTGATGCTCGCTGGCGTTCTTGTCTTGCTTGTCGGTCTCGTGACACACCTCCTGCGAGGTTATGCCCGCAGCGTCGAGATGCTGCAAGACCAACTCCGTGGTTTCAAGGTCGAAAACACGAGCAGTGCGTGCTGTGCCAACTGCAAGAAAGGCGAGGCTGCTCTCTGCGACCGCGCGGTCATTCTTGAGTGCATTGCTGCGTGGTACGAGTCACTGGACAGCTTTGAACTTCATGTGCAATCTGATGTGCAGATGGCAGTCATCGATCAGCTTGCATATAGAGCCATCTCTTATCAACGTGCTCTTGTACTGTTTACGCCATATGTGTGGCTTCGTCTTGGGTATGCAGCAAGCCATGCAAGCGATCCCATCCGACAGCTAGTCGATCTAGCCCAGACATTCACCTACTTCCTGGCAATTTACCCCGTGATGGCCAAACTTTGCTTCCGTCTGTGCTACAGCTTGCGAGCACGATGTCGCAGGCTATACATAGACTTCTTTCTATCGATGGCCGCCGTGATCGGTTCCTTCTTGTTCTACGTTGCTTGCTACGCGATCCAACTCTATGTCTTCCGTCAAAGCGACCGGGAACTTCTCCTGAGTGTGATCTCAATGATTTGTTGGTGGACTGTCGCAGTTCTCCTGTGGCGAGTTATTTAAGCACAAGACCCGGGTCACAGGCTTCAATCTGACTCTCAAGCCATGCTACCGAACTCCTCGAAGCTCGGAATTCCAAACTGACTGGTTGTGGACCCTGGTCTTAAGTCCTTATCAAGGCAAAAGCCAGAAAATCCTTCCCCAAGGGTCGACGACAGCTCCGGTTCGAATGGACTTAAACGTCTTGTGGCATCGCCAGGATCATCGTCATAGTCAGAACATAATCATAATGATAATCATGGAAGTAGCAGCTGTTACCGCCATCATCATCATCATCATAATCATCATCATCAGCATCATCATGATCATCAGCATCGTCATCGTTAACCTCATAGTCGAATCTATCAGCTCAGCACTTTTCCAGCCACGCCCTCGGCGAGTTTTGAGGTGTGTTTTAACAGTTTCAACGTTTTTCGGGCTCCTTTAAGGGTTCCTTTTAGGGATCCTTCGAGGGGGTCCCTTTTTCACCCCGAAGAGCAGAAGAGGACCAGCCGGCCCAGGAGCGGTCGAGCGAGTTCGCCAGAAAGGAGACCAGGACTTCACACCCTACTGATGGTATCCATTGTAGTTCCTTTTTGGTGTTACCTTTTCGGATCCTTAACATAGAACTGGTTAAACCAAAAAAAGGAGCTACAATGGAGACTATAGGTAAAAGCCCCTAAACCCGAAACAACACCACTCTCAACCCTGAAACCCAGAACCCCCAAGGCCCTGTCACGGAAAACCCCTCCGCCCTATAACCCTCAAACCCTGAAGGCCCAGAGCTCCGAAGCGAAAAAGTTCAGGGGTTGACTTAGCTTTTAGGGGCTTTGTGTTCAGTTTTTTTCCGGTTTAGGGTTTAGGGTTGAGGGTAGTCGTAGGCAGAGAAACGGGCGCAAGGCGTCAAAGACGGGATTCCAGGTGTTCTCGACATGCATTAAAGTTTGTATTTGATCTCGTAAGCCTCAGATGTACAGAAGCAAGTCTGTGGAGATTTCTATGTCTGACTATTCCATTCCTAGATGCAGGGTCTTGGTCAAGGCCGAAGCGCAACACCTCACAAGTTCTCTACTGTGCAGATGCTGAGATCTTTGCCACAGGCACCCGATACTTTAAAGCCACCGCACTCATGGCAGCCGAGACTTGCCGTTGAGTCTTGGGGTTCAGGGTTTAAGCAGGGCGTCCTACGAACTGATGGAAACATAGGTGATCTCAGTAGCTCGTAGCGCTCTGAACTACCATGCTCCTAGCCCCAACGCCAACACAGGAGGAAGCGCACACGGCGCAGCAATCTCAGCACACATGCCTGATGCCCCAAACGCCTCAAACCCCTAATAATACCCTTAAAAACCTGAACCCTAAACCCTGAAGAATAAAGCCCCACTCAGAAACCCTAGCTCCTGAGCCCTCGCAGCCTGAAGTCCTAAACCCTGACAGCCCTCAAGACCTTTCCCGGCTTAGGATGCCATCTCTCCAGAGTTCGATCCCTTGATCCCACCGGACAGCGAGTTCGAGGTTCGCGTCAACGACCACGCGGGCCGGTACATGGTCGCTGACTCGGGTGAAGCCTCAGAGCAGATGTGTTGAAAGGAGGGGGGGGGAAGAAGAGTAGGACGACGAATACCCCGCTCTTATTGCTCCTACTACTGCTGCTACTTCTGCTACCACCACCACAACTACTCCTGCTGCTGCTACTACTATTTCTACTCGGTTAGTAGTTTACTTTGAAACTTTCGGTTGATATTAGTGGCGGTATTGCTGATATGTACGCAACTTAAGGCAAGGAGCAATACATGTCTATACTGATGCTTTTGCGCAACAGTGATATCAACAGCGTTTGCATGCATCCTTCGAGGTTAGCCGTGTGCGGCTGGCCTTGGGAAGTTGGTTTCTCGTGGAGGCGGTGGATATGAAAGTGTCCTAGCATCTTCGGATTAGGGCTTGGGGTTTAAGGTTCAGTGTGCACCATGGAGTTGTAGGGATTCCAAAACTCGTGGCACGAGGTTGGGAGGGCTTGGACATGAGAACTACGGGTTTGAGGTTTTCGAGGTTTGAAGGTTGGGGTTATGTTTGCCCTAAACCCTAAACCCTACGCCCTACACTCTAAGCCCTAAACCCTAAACCCTGAACCCTAAACCCGAAACCGTGCGACAAAGGGGGCACCCGGAGATCTCTCCGGGCTTGCAACTCGGGAAGGGGCTTCAGCGAGGGGCAATAAGGTTGATGATATGAATCCTGCACTACCTTAAGGACCCTAAACTATGGGAATTATGGTATATTCCTTATTGTGGAAGCTATGGGAATTATGGTATATTCCTTATTATGGAAGCTATGGGAATTATGGTATATTCCATATTATGGGTCATGCAGGATTTTATATCATCGACCGTAGGTATGCTGTTTTTGCTGACTACCCATAGGCTCCTTAGTAGCTCCTTAGTAAGGGGTTGGTCTTTCGGTTCCTATAAAGTAATCCCCAAAAAGGAACTACTAAGGAGCCGATGGGTAGTACCTTTAAACCCTAAACCCTAAACCCTAAACATGAAAAAAAACTTGGCGAAGTTGTCCTAGGCACAAGGAAGAAACCACCCCAAGGCCAGGCTTCATGCAAAAACATGGAGCTCTCTAAGCCTCTGAGCTTTGCACCAAAAGGGTTTAGGGTTTAGGATTTAGGATTTAGGGTTTAGGGTTTAGGGTTTAGGAGCTTTATGATCCGCTTCTGAGTTCCGCGTTTGCTAGTAGAGTGCTCCCATGTACTCCTTCCGTGTCGAGCGTGTCTTTGTTTGCGAGTCTACGGGTAGCGCCTCGAACTGCGGTAAGCAGGACATTGGGCGTTTTTGAGGTCACTGAAGCAGCCCCGATATGCGGACCCTAGAAAGTAGGGCCTTGAAGCAGGACCCCTGACTCAATTTAAGCTTGTCTCGATAAAAGAGAAAACCCTAAATCCCATGACCAGAGCAAGTGTAACGCTATAATTACTATAACGGGATATTCTACATATCTACCTCGCCCGGAAGCCTTGCTTGCATCTCTAGACCAGATTCGTCTGCATAGCCTTTAATCCCAAAACCTATCAGCCTAGTACCCCTTTCGGCGAGAGCCTTGCAAGCAACCCCCTGTGCTCCTCTGCGGGAGCTGAACCATGCCTGCCAGCTGTTTCAGGCCTCACGGCCCTAAGCCCCAAGAAAGCAAAGGGAAAAGATCCGAAACCCTAAAGCCGTACAAACATAGCCTGAACCCTTGGGTCGCAAAACTGGAACCGAAATGCAAACAACAACGAGAGACACTTGCGAGCCCTAAACCCCCTGAAATCCTTGTCCTTGAACCCTAAACCTCAAACCACCCCTAAACCCCAATGGCCCCAACGACGATGGCCTTTGCCCGCCAGACTCCTCTGGTTTGTTGGCCCCTGTCCCGGCAGGAGGGCAGCTTCCGGCATGTTTGTGCTCTGGGATGTTTACATGGGTTTAGGGGTTTTGGGGGTTTAGGGTTTAAGGGTTCAGGGTTTAGGGTTTAGCGGTTTATACGGTTGCCTGCTCTTACTGCATACCTCCCTCTTATGACGGTGTTCGGAGACACCACTGTCCCGAAGGCTGCACCACTTGGCTTGCGAGCATTTTATTCGAGGTCCCAGCGGTGCTGTTTGCCGTCTTTCCCTGCTTATGTTTCCTTTGCCTCACGTTCAATGTGTCAACCCGACGGACCGCAGAAGCTTTCGGCCCGAATCCTTTCTCAACTTTCGTGTTCCGTAGTTTGCTAACACACCTACGCACGATGGCTCGCTCTTCTCTTGGCCTCGTGTGTGCAATGGCTCTG